TGCCAACAACGAAAACTACCCCGTGATTATGTTGCAAGCTCCGTGAGGCGAACATTGGGGGTTGTCACCCTTTTGCGCCTCCTCCTCCCTTCCTTTGGGTCTACCTCTATGAGAACCTACGCCCCAAATGCGGCGTCTTCATCCGTGCTGTACGAACGACTCCAACGGCATCTTCATGCTACGCGTGCTTTCGTCACAGTGCAGGATGACGCGGTAGTCGTACTCCTGCCGCAAAGCGGGGTGAGATCTGCGACTAAGTACCCCTCCGAACCAACTCAACCCGAATTTCACGAGAACCCCACGCTTCACTATCGACTGATCGAGGGCCGGTGGCGGAGACGCCTGGAGTCGAAACCCGTCCGGGATGTCCATCTTCAGCGTTTCTTCCTCAGGCGACAATTCGTCATCGTCGTCGAGCTGGGTCAGCGGGTCCTTATCGCTGTCATCCTCTCCTGACAAGGCACAGTGGAGGCATGGTCTGTTGTTGTTGTGGCTATTTCCGAAGCGGGGACAATATTCCAACACTCATTAATGTGTCAACAAGAGGAGCTTTCTTCCGCAAGGGTAATTCTTCTGTGCTCCGAATGAACGCGAAATACAATATCACTTACCGTCGCTCTCATCATCGCGCTGTTGTTGAAGACGATGATGCCTTTCGCTTCTGTCCTACGAACTGCTGTGTGCTTGAACCAGCAGCCGATTCAGGAGGGGTTGGCACCGGGATCTTTTTCTTGAGGTGGGACGCCACATGTTCGTTGAGATGCTGCACATGCTCCTCCAAAGCAAGGACATCGGAGGACCTCAAACTCCGCAGCTCTTCAATGCCTTTCTTTACAGAAACCGTGAGACAGAGGCTCGTTGTTTAGAAGGTGCTTCTTGATGTCCCCGAGCTGGCTCGTCGACAGTTCTTGTTGGTCTCTGAGGATGACCAGCTTGGTCAAGCCCTCACGAGAGCTGGCGGAGAGAATCATCAAAGCCGTGTACAGCAGACAGCATGTCGTGTTTCGCAGCCTGTCTGGTGTGCTATGCCAAAGCTTTAGCGCCAGCAGAGAGCGTGGCAGAGCCCGCAGGGGGCCGGAGGGGGCGCCACAAAAAATTAAACACTCCCCCCTCGTCGTACAATTAATACTCCATAATAGTGCACCATGGGAGGGCGGGGTCGGGGGAGAGGGGGAAAGAGCGGGAGAGCTGTGGGGTTTGATTCTTATTCGACACACTCCCCCTTAAACCCTCGTTTCTTATGTAGTAGGGCAGCACTCTTCTCCCTTCTTCCCCTCGCTCCTCGACAAGCTTTTGCTTCGACATGGGTTGTAGCTGTCTCTTATACACATCTAGATGTGTATAAGAGACAGGC